TGGGGGGGAAGCCGGTTCCGTGGCGGAAGGCGCAAGAGGCAGATCAGGCGGGGGGGAGGAGCGGCTGGAAGTGAGCAGGGTTAGTGCTTCGGGCCGTGCAGACAGGCGTCCGGTTGACAACTACGATTCCTGGTTTTCTCCTGAAACTCTACGAAATTATGGGGAGAAGCGTGCGTTAATTCCCGTGGGAAGGACAGAAATTCTGGGGGTTGGATGGGTTTGGTTTTTTCCATTTTACTTTTACAATGCGTTTTTAACCTAGGTGTGTAAGTAAGCATGTTATCCTATTCCTGATTTCGCTGCGGTCTTATTCATAGCAGGTTTAATTTAGTTAAGAGCGGTCTTGGCTTACGTGGTTATATGTTAATAACATCTAGTTATATTTCTTATTCAAGGGGTTTGTGAAAGTTGTCAAGAATAAGGCGTACTTCAAGAGATACCAAGTGAAATTCAGGAGAAGGAGAGGTACTGTCGAATTCCCTGTAACATATAATTGTCATTGATGAATATTCCAACTTTTTTCACACGTGTTTTCCACACTATAACTGTTGTTTTTCAGAGGGAAAAACTGATTATTATGCCCGTAAACGTTTGGTAATTCAAGATAAAAATAAGTACAACACGCCTAAGTACAGGATGATTGTGCGTGTTACCAACAGAGACATCATTTGCCAGGTAAGGTCTGTGGTGCTTGCTACTTACCTGCCAGCCTTCCCAGAGTGAAGTAAACTGAAAGGGGGATGGTTGAAGCAGCTGGGTTTTGTTAGGCTTGACCTGAGGAGGTTTTATATTGTAAAATAGTTTCTTAGAGGAGAACAATCTTTAACGTTGACGCAACTTCAGTAATAAACCGTATTAGTGATACAAAATAAGTTTTACTAGCGTCAGCATTCTTCAGCAAGGTTATTCGTAATATAAGATTGTACTGTTTTAACGATGCTGAGGTAAATAGAAGATTTTAGGGAGAGGGAAGATTTCTCTATTTGTTTTCCTGCTGTCTTTAAAGTGCTTGAAAAGAGGGTCTTTTTGCTTGACTGAAGACAACAAAGTTGACTATGTGACCTGTCAGCCTGCACTGACTGTTGCACTGTGTCTAAAGGTGCCTTCTCTTTTGAGGTGTTGTTTTTTTTTTCCCATGATGTTATATGGATCCTCTGAAGAAGGGGGGCTTTATGATGGCTTTCCTCTGAGACTGAAGGAGACTGGTAAATAAGAATAGTGGGCATTTTTTCATGCTTATTAAGTATGCAGTTGTGTGTTGCGTCATACGCAGTTCCTCACTGTGATTCACTTTCTTGTTTCATTTTCAGAATGTTTTGACTAATTTTGAAGTTAAAAACTTAGGCATGTTTGTTCTATACATGTTATTAAGCTCAAAAAAAAAAGCTAGAAAAGTTTAACTGTCGTTTCTTTCTTCATAGAATAATTATCTGTTGAGAACAGTGGAGAGTGCTGTTTTCACAGTCAGTTCAGATGAAACCATATGACCTTGATGAGGTTACTTTATCCTTCAAACTCAAAACAAAAATCAGTGGTGGCAGGTGCTTACATCTGACTGATAGTGCCTCTCCAGTATGTAGGAATCCTGCAAAAAGGGGATGACTTCTGGATGTAGAAGGGAGGTGTGAGAGTCAAAAGGAGAAGGTTCGGTATGTGAAAGGAACGGTAGAAACATATCTGCTAGTACTGCTGTCTCACAGGAGACCCCTGAGATTATGAAAATCTCAGACCCGTTAATAAAATCATTCCATAAGGTTAGTAACAATGTTATCACAAACTCTGTATCAGATGCTTTTGCGTTTTTCTGAGGTGCGTTACATGCTGTGTTATATGAGAATTACATGCAGAAAGTGGGACGGAATCCATCCGCAGCTATAATGATTCTTTGAAAGATTGCTTTTGTAGGCAGCTTCCTGGCCTTCTGATGTACGTGGAGAGGTAAATAAAAGGTGTCGCTGGCATACGCTTTCTCTGGCCTAATACGGATTTGAATTCTTTGCATCTGTACTTGAGGAGTTAATTATGCCTTTAAAAAAAAAAAAAAAGAAAAACATAACCCACTGAGCTTGAATGCAAAGGTTGGCAGTTTGCTGGACATTTCTATACAGAATTCCTGTTGGCTTAAGTAGATTTCAAATAAACAACAAATCGAGCCCAGAATTATTGTGAGAACACTAACAGTTGTTTTGTTGTCAGATTGCCTATGCCAGAATTGAAGGTGACATGATTGTCTGTGCTGCTTACGCTCATGAGCTGCCAAAATACGGCGTGAAGGTTGGCCTGACCAATTACGCAGCAGCATACTGTACAGGTCTGCTGTTGGCACGCAGGGTAGGTACCTGTCAGATTGTCTGGAAGTTGCTGCTCTGTTTTTCTTACGAAAGGAAAGCCCGCTTTCGGTAGTGTGTTAGTATAGATACCTGACTCTGTGGGCTTCTCTAAGTATTAACTTCTGCTCTTTACCGTATAGATTTGATGGCCTCTTGTGACTGTCAAATCACAGTGAGATGTATGACAGCATGCAGTTTCAACTCCAGCAGCCCACTTTTAAGTCTCGGCACTTAAGTTTGGTGGAGGGAGGGAGTCAGGATAAAAATGTAAGAAGTGTACCTTTAAGAGTCCGAAAACACGTAAACGGCATCCATCCATACATCCATTTTCCATACAAGCTCATGAATAAGTCTTAAGTTCACTGGTGCACCTGTTGGAACAAAAGGTTGAAACTTAACAGGCATGCTTACCGTGGTGGTTGTTAAAAGCTTTGTTACTGGTATGGGGTGCGTAATTTTTTGTAAAGACACTCGTGTTAAGGTGGTGGTGATTCTTCATTTTGTCAATAAATGGAAAGAATTTCAGAAGTCCTTTTTTTGTTTTTGTTTTTTTTTCCCTTTCCCACAGCTTCTGAATAAATTTGGCCTTGATAAGATCTATGAAGGCCAAGTTGAAGTGACGGGTGATGAATACAATGTGGAAAGCGTGGATGGAAAGCCTGGTGCTTTCACGTGCTACCTGGATGCAGGTCTTGCCAGAACTACCACTGGAAACAAAGTCTTTGGTGCTCTGAAGGGTGCCGTGGATGGTGGTCTGTCCATCCCTCATAGGTAATCTAGTCTGTGTGGAAGAATTCCTTTAGAATTAACCTGAGATGCTTCTGTATGTGACAGTCTAAGTAGACCGTCGCTTTATGTTGAAATAATTTTGTTACAACCTGGTAATGATTATGTAGCCTAGGTTCTGGGGTGGGGTTTTTTTTTGGTTGGTTCATTGGTTGTTTTTTAATCCACAAGTGCAATTCGGATAGTGCTGCTGGGAATCTTGCAACTATCAAGAGATGCTATTACATTTTTAGAAACTAAAGAGTCATCTTGTTGCTTTTACTTAAAATCATCAAGTGATTGAATGCACTTAAGTAAATATCCTTTATTATGCTGTTGGTTTAAGTCTTTAGCAAATTGTGGGTATGTATTAATTTCACTGTGAAAAGCTGTACGTACCAGGTACAAAACCATTGACATTTGCTACAGTTGTCAGTACAACAGTAGGTCTGAGCAGTCCACCTGCACTTGAAATTCCCACGTGGAAGTTTTGACAATTCCTGTCGTAGGCTATGAATGACTGAATCAAGATTTTGGGCAGTGTTACCGAACACTGATATTACAGTTGACTGCTTCTTTCTGCTAGCAGCAGCCGGAGGGGGGGCGAATCTGAGATCTGTTGTGTATTTTCCTGCCCTTTCCCATGCTGTCCTATTCATTCTTGACTAATTGTCCAGTTTTTCTGACTTGGCTGCTATATGATGATGTTCCCAATGACTGAACACTCTGTAGTTGGTCCATGGTGTGTATATGATGTACTGCACTGTTTCAAGACGGGACTGATGGCAGCCGAGATGAACTTAAAACTTCCATTTCCTAATTTTCTGTATCTCTTAATTTTTAATCAGAGGGTCCTATCCCTCAGTTATCTGTAGGAGAATCTGATGTATCAGTCGTTTCTTTGTGGAACCTAGCATCTGAATTAGAGGATTTGGCAGTATGTCTTAATCTGACTGTAACTGCTGTTTCACAGTACCAAACGTTTCCCTGGTTATGACTCGGAAAGCAAAGAATTCAATGCAGAGGTTCACCGCAAGCATATCATGGGCCAGAATGTTGCAGATTATATGCGTTACCTGATGGAGGAGGATGAAGATGCTTACAAAAAACAGTTCTCCCAGTACATAAAGAACAACGTAACACCTGATGGGGTAAGATTTATCTGGCTGGCTCTTGTGCATTAATAGAGATGCTGATAAGTCTTGCATAGGGCCTTCTCTAGTAACGCAAATAAGCTTGATATGTAAAATAATGTGATTCATGTTGTATGTTATCCATGCAAAGAAAATACTTCTTTCCTTCATTAAGGGCTCTGTAGTATGTTGTAGAGCTTTTGAAAGTGAGATCTTTTTTCCTGCTGTGAAGCTTTAACATTCTGCCTATAAATCTAAGCTTACAGGACTGCATTCTAAGCTAGAATTAGCTTCCCCCCCCCCGATATGGAAATCAACTTAAAGTTTCTATGCATGCTACTCACTCATTCCTAGTCCTGCGCCACAGCCTGTCATTTCTGCAGCTGTGGTGGCTGCAACTGTGAGGATGCGCTTTAGGTCAAATCTGTTTTATGATTTGTGTGACCCTATAGGTAGTTCTAGGTCCCAGGTGAATATAGAATAGCTGTAGTTGTAGAAGCTAGCATTTCATGAAACTACAGAGCGTGTAATACATCTTATTTTAGTACTACTTTAAGTTTTAGAGTATTTTGTACAAAACACTAGAATATGTGTAAGATGACCAAGGTGCTGCTTTCAAGTGTTAAACTCCTTTCAGATGGCTTGTTTTGCTGCCTGTAATGTCCTTGCTTGGTTTCCCCAATTAGTGGTCCTGAAGCTTGAAACAAACATTCTCATGTCTCATTTTTAGGCTATGGAAAACTTAACTTCATTCTTTATCCCTTTATTGCTATGGGGTTTTGTGGTTTGGGTGTTTTTTTGAAACTTAACTAATTGCTAACTTCTTGTAACTTAGTTTTTACTAAAAAATAAGTAATGTGTTATAAATGCCAACTTCATCAATTTTACTAAACAAACTATTTATAGCTTGTATTGCAGTGAAGTGGGTCCAGGGCTTACGTCAATAGCTAGACAGTTACTCTTCATACATCTAGAAAACTTTTCACAGTGGGGGTCTAGTGGTCTTAATTAACCACCAGCAAAGGTATTCTTAAAATTGGTGCCATTATGGAGCCATAGTTGTCTCTGGGACAGAGCAGCAGACAGATGGGGATCCTCTGGTACCTTCTGCTATTGATCTATGTAACTGGACAGATCACTCACATTTTCCCATCTTATACATTAGAAGAATAGTTGCTCAAGTACAATGACCTGCTATGTGAGCTGTCAGAAATTGCTGTTTGGGTGTAGCCTCTGCTAATGTATTTCTGTTACGGCATCCTTGGGGATGATGCAGAGACCGTCATGGTTCTTGCAAGACTTGTTAATCTGTAGCTGCTTTCATAACTTCTACTTTTTCCCTCTTACTAAGCAACTTTGTAATGTGTACTAGAGTAGGGTCTGAAACGTGGTAAGATTACTCATCTGGTGACAGAGTTTGTGTGGAGTAATTTTGTTTTAATAAGTAAACATGAAGTATTTTATTCTAGGCAGACGTAGAATAACTTTCTAGACTGCCTTTTAATTTAAATGTAGGGAAGCTATGTCACTGAAAGTAGGCTTCAGAGGAAAAAGTATTTCAACTGCAAGATGCTAGGCTGTATTTGAGACTTGTAAGTACTTGTAAGTAGGCCTTGGTTCCCTAACTAAAATAAGGATAAAATTACTTTCTCCATCTTGTGTCTTAAGTTGTGGATTTGGATATTTAAATTGTATGACAGCGATAGTAGGAATTTCAGTATGCTGTGGCAGTGATCTGTATGAAGAAAGTGTTTTAAAGGCAACCACACAAAATTACAAGCTGTGGTGTGATGAAACCTGTTTCTAGTGCATGCTCAGGTAAGGGTGTCTTGGATTTTTAATATGATCCTACAACTGGACCACTATGGAGAATTTAACAATTTTTTTTTTTTAAGATGGAAGAAATGTATAAAAAAGCCCATGCTGCTATACGGGATAATCCAGTCCATGAGAAGAAACCCAAGAGAGAAGTTAAGAAAAAGAGGTAAAACTCTTGTCCTCTTTAACATGAATGTGACTTCTCTGTTGAAGATATTTTAGTTATGTTAAAACAAGTAAGGTGATTCATATTGCAGTTGTGTCAAAACTCACATGTGTTTTAGATCAGATTAAGATACAAGCATTTCTCTATAACTTCACAGTAGGAATCTAAAATTTAAGAGCCCTCAACTATATTGAAAAAAAAAAAGTAAAAGTGGAACATGCTTGTGGCCTGAATAGCTGGAACTCTTTAAGTGTGTATCTTCAGGTCTTAAGTGTTTTCAGTGGGAAAGCTGCTTCTCTTCAGGAGAGGGCAGGCTGACAAATTTGTCAGTACTAAACTATTTAGATTTTTCAGGGGTCTGGGAGAAAAGAAATAAAGGCACAGCTATTGCATCAGGCTTGATACTGTCTATGTTCTAGTTACAAAAGAGTACTGAGCTTACCTCTTGAGGAATTAAACTGCTGCAGTCTAACCATGCCTTCTTGTGGTGCCCTAACTACAGCCTTAAATCATTATGAGGAAATAAAGCGTGTTACAGAAGTGGGAATATGTTCTAGCATAGCGCTCTTAATCACAGTTCTGGTGCGCTGCAGCTTTCTTGACCACCTTTTTGCTTATTTCTGCCTTGGATATATCATACACTGTGCTTACATTGCAGATGGAACTGTCCCAAGATGTCCCTCGCCCAGAAGAAAGATCGTGTTGCTCAGAAGAAGGCTAGCTTTCTCAGGGCCCAGGAGCGCACAGCTGATAGTTAAGACAACTTCCACAATTTTCTATGAAGCTTTGGAAAAAGTGGCAATAAATTTATTGATTAAGCAACTGTGTAAGACTGGCTTATTAATATATCTTATAAAGATGCAGAATACTTTTTATGATCCAGATATTCTGTAGCCTTAAGCTTCTTTTCCCCCTTCAAAGTACTGTATGAATTGAACTCCTTCACGGAGGAGAAGAGAGGTGACAGACTTCAAAACCAAGGCTGCTGCCTTAGAATTATTCCTGTAAGAAGGGGAACTCAATTTGATTACTTCTTGGTGTGACTAGTATCAAATACTAGATATAAGAACTTGTTGCTCCTAACTACAAAAAGACTTTAAATTTTTAAAAAGGGCTTTACATGTCCTTCACCATTTTTCTTTCAGCATACTTAGCGTTATGGGGGAATATGTATGTAGCTTAAGGAAAAAGCAGTAGTCACGGTAGGTTCTAAAGCCTCTGCTGAAAGGCAGCCTTAGGCTTTCAGGAACACAAATGGCAACATGTTCCATACTGTGAGTTAACTGTAGCTGATGCAGGAATACACGTCTAACTGATGTACTTAAGTTTTCTCCAGTAACTAAGTAAGCACTTGCACTCACACAGCTCCAAGCTCTGGCTGCTACTGAAACAGGTACTGTCTATAATGCTTGGCATTATTTAGTGATAAGAGAATTCACTTTTAAGTTGCATATACATGCTTAGTTACAGAGGCCTTGACTTGCCCCTATCCCTTACATCTCAGTTTAATAGGCACTTTCCTATTAGACTTACAGAAGTTGCTTGCAGTTAAAACACAAGGCAAGAAGGCTACGCAGAGGAATATTTTGCTTTAAGATACTGATAGATGGTAAGTACTGCTATTGAATGAGAAAAGGAGGCCTGTGATTTATTGTAAACAAGTGCAGTGGTTCTTTTTTCCAATGAAAGTTCCAACTTGATGCAACAGCAATAAAAAAGAAGGTTCTGTACATGTTTTCCAGTTGTTTAAAATACCCAACATCATTTTGGATTCAGTAATCTTCTCTGCCCAAAACCTAGAGCAAGTACAGTCAGATTTTTCTACCAAGAACATGACCACTTTACATTTGAGTGCATTGCTGGCTACAAATACTTACTAGCTCTTGGAGGACATTATCAAGTTAGAGACAATAATTAGCATTAGCATAGTAATTCTTAAACTAAAAAGCTGATGTTTACAAAACAGTACACTCTTAACCCAAGCTGCATACTGTTACATATCGTATGGAGAAATGACTTTATGTTGTTCCTGTACTTCAGTTTAATCATTCAAGGAATGCACTTAACACAGGATACCTAAAGCAATTAGCAGCCTTTCAAATATTTAAATAAAAGCTTGTCCTTCTTACCTGTGCTGAAACCGAATTAAGGGGCCAGGATTTGGAAGTGTATGGATGACTGCCATTAAAATCATTAAGGATTGAACTACTTCCTACTTAAAGCATTTATAAATTAAACATTAACAGATAAGTATTGAGCATGGTATTATTAAGGTGTTTTATGGACATCCAATTCTGCATAATTGTGAACGTGGATGTAAATCTGCGAAACAGGTGTGCAGCTGAAAGGTGGTACAGTGGCCATGCCATGTGGAGTGCCAGGATCAGATGCTGTTTATTTACTCATGACTTGAGACTTAACAATGACGCACAGATGCTACTAGAAAACAGTAACATGCTGCAGCTCACTTATGTATGTTCCACCTCATTCCTAGCTGTTATTATCTTACAGGCTCCCATTTAAGCAATATTCCATGATCCTGAACCATCCAGCTTCTGTCCTACAGTTCAGGTCTAGTTCTGGCTTACATAAATCCTCTTGAACTACTGCAGGAAGTAAGTACAAGTCTGTAGCTAAATTTGGAGGGACAGTAAGGAGTCAAGGCTTTATCCACAACTATTACTTGTTTCACATGTCATACAGCAGATTCCTATACTATGCAAGCTTCCTTTAACTGTTAGGATGTTTCTGCTATCAGTATTTTTAAAAATTAGTTGACTTCAGTTCTCATAAAATAGCTTAGTCCACAAACTCCTTACTTCTCAATATTTGCTACAGCTTAATTTGGGTTAAAGGTTTCAACTGAAGTACAGTAATTACAGTTTTTGAAACAGATGTTGATATTGCTGCTAGACTGTATACATGATTTTAAGAAATAACACATTCTAAAATTCTTGGCTCCCAACATGGTTCACTGTATAAGGACTTAATTAAAAAGTGTTGAACTACTTAAACATTCAAGATGTAAGCATGAGGTAACAAGGTGTAAACAGAATCTGATTTAAGTCTCGTATTACAACCTGTCAGTTCTAGAATTCTAATTTTCCACAGTTTAAAAATTACTAATGTGCAAATTCTGCCATGCCAAGGTATTAGTAAACTTCAATTTCACAGTTCAGTTTATTCACAACAGCAGCTTGGACTCAGACACATTATTTGCAGTAGTGGTGGTTCTTCATAAAACTACTTGGGACAAAAATCTTTTGCAGGTATTTCACAAGTAAGCAATGATTTTCACAGAATTGTAAGATGTTCCATCAGTTGATGTGGTGGCACAGTGAATACTTTCATCCTGTTCAAGAGCTGACAAAGTGCACGGAACAGTCAAGCATGCGGGGTTTTTGTTTCCATAACAGAGTGCTGGAATGTCAGAAGTGCTTCTGGCCTCTGCCCGATCATTCAGTGCCATGTTCGTTCTTTGAGAAGCCCGGTCATAAGGTACTGACTGAAGGGCAAGAGTTAAAGAGCCGTTCATGAAATCTGAGTAAAGAAACGTCTTTAAAAAATGCTGCAGATGATTGTTTTTATCAAATGTGGTAGGCCACCTTTAGTGGCAGGCATCAATATTATCTTCTGCTGGTGGAGAAGCTAAGAATCATTTGTATGGGAAATTTTCTTCCACAGTAAAGTTTTTAAGTTATTGAGTATTAAAGAATGCTCCATTTCCATCTGATTTGCTGTGACTTTAAGGGCAATACACAAGTACAGCTGTTTTTCTAGTTCTTCATGGATATCAGAAGGAGCACCACGAAGCAGATAGTCTTTAAGTAGCTGACAGGCTTTTGCCAAGTTTGGCTGAATTACTTCCGTGGTACATCTCATTTTGCTTTGGTCACATAGAGTTCTACAGTCTGTGCCATAAATACAGTCCAAATCCGTTTCACACTGACGATCTTTAATTATTTCCTTCAAATTCATTTCTGGCACAATTTTTCTCATGTCCATCATTTTCAAATCATATTTATCATTATATCCCAAGTTTTTGGCACTTGTATCACACATAAGAAAGTTTCCATAAGGTCCATGGAAAATATCTTCCACAAATTCTAAAAGCCCTATAGCTATTTTTGCCTTTCTTGGCCATGATGGAGTAAACCATTGGTCCATGTTTCTTCTGAAGCCAGAGGGAATGAAAAGTTCTATAATCCATGGAAGGCTGATTCCATAGAGAGGGGTATATTCAACTCTTTCGGTCACATAGAGATCCCCACAAAACCCCATCAACTTGGGAGTATGTTCTTTATCGTGCAAGATCACCATTAACAGAAACTCATCTAGCTGCAGAAGTGCCCATGCAGATTTCGCCTCTGGCAAAGAAACTCTACCATCTTTGTTTCCATCAGCAAAAGATAGGATGAGATTAACCAGTTCTGAAAGATTTCCTTGTTCACCCAATTTTGCCTAAAAGCAACAAATGAAAAAGATTAAGTATGATTTCATTAACTACCACCAATCCACCTGTCATTCTACCTCCTGTTATTCTCCTTCTATGGATGGTATGGTAGGGTATGTTACCTTCTACTTTTCATTGGTTATAGATGTTACAGTACTTGCTACCAGATGCCTGAAGAGCTTCCTTTTTGTTCTGTTTTCAAAGGCACCAAGTATATGATCTTCTGAGAGTACAAGTATTCTTTGCATTTCAAAATGCAAACATTAAAATTCAAAAACATTGTTCTTGGTCAGATCAGTCTTTAGAAAAATCGTTATCAAGTAGCTTGTTAAATACTCTCTTAGAAAAAGTATGTAGAATTCAAATGTTTAGATCAGGTTTAGTTTTCAGCTGATTAAACCTTACACGTGTAGAGAAATTACAGTATCAACTACATTTTGGCTAACTATAAAAAGTACCAAGACATACTGGGTACAAATCCCGTATGATAAGTATATTGGAATATTTAATTTTGTTATTTGATATAACCACCTCCATTGTATCAATACAGAGAAAGAAGCCATTGCTGGAATCTGAACTGTTGCATTTTCAATTACCACCAACGCACACAGAAAGTCAGATAAACTTTTCCCAAATTCTCCTAAGAACTACTCTAAAACACCTGCTGCTCACCCATTCTTAGACACAAAACTACTGTAATGCATGACAACTGTCATCAGTTTTACATAATGATGTGGATGTGTGTGCATGTGTACACATATGCTCACTCGACTAGAACAGCATTATTTCCATCACTCAAGACATAAGAGCTATGACAATAGCAAGAGAATTTTAAGAAAGAAAACCCAAAATCAGTATCGACACAGCATCAAAGTGATGACTCCATATTATGAAAATTCTGGGGTAGCATTAAAACAACAGAAATAAGTATCGCGTTAATATAACACAGAAAGAACTGGGAGAAGTATGGCTGGTCATTCTGGTTAGAGAGATTCCTGCT